GCAAGAAAACACCTCATCCTGTTTAACAATTTCTTCCATGTGTTTAACACGCCCTAAAGCATCTTTCAACTTCATCTCATTCAAAACACACTTTGAACAATCTTGAGAAATCAAAACACCTTCGTTTTGTTTTGCCTTATTCGCACATGAAGCATTGACTAAAGAACTTGCACAAAAAGCAACTTTGTATTTTTTCAAAACATTCTTTGTCAAAATCAACTCATCAACAACACGAGCATGTAAAGCAAATCCAAGAGCAAAATTAAGTCTCCAACTTTTTAGATTTTTCAATTTCAAATTCCAATTTCTTGCAATTAACAGAATTGACATCTCGCAAAGCATTATTTTCAGAAAATAAAACTTCACAAGATTGACAATTATCATCATCAGGAATCAAAGATTTTAATCTATCAATTTCAGCATTTAGAATCTCAATAGTGTGATCCTTCTCATCAAGCACAATAGAACATGTTTGAAGTTTCTTAGCAAATTTGTAAGCAGCATGTTCTAATTGATCATAACTAAGCTTTTCTTCACTATCACTATTAGATTCATCAATATCAGAACTTGCATTACGAGCAATAAAAGCTAAATCAACAATTTGCTTACCTTTGCTCTCATCTTCATCCTTTGATTCATCACAAGCTCTTATTAATTTTTGGATTAGCCACTGTACGCAATTCTTCTTCTTGTCCTTCGTGATCTTCTTCTTGTTCACGTCATCTTCCTTGACTCTACCATCATCTTCCTTCTTGCCTCTCCCAAGCTTAGGACAATGTGAGCGAAGATGATCAAGTGCACCACACTCAAAACAACGATTCGGTCCTCCTCTTTTCCTGTTCCTAATATTTTTCATAGCTCGAGAAAATTTGTTAGATAGCAAAACCAAGTCCTCCTCCTCGAATTGTTCGAGTTGATCATCGGACATGGCATTAAATAAAGCAAGGACAGAAGACTTCGATGAAGAAGCACCAACATCCAAAGAAGTCGAGGAAGAAACCAAAGCCCTAGACTTAGAATCAACTTTACGAGAAAGAATATTCATCTCATGAGTTTTCAGTTTTGTGTAAAGCGAATCTAAAGTCAAAGTAGACATGTTAACAGACTTCTGAATAGATGTAACTTTCATCTCCCAAATAGACATATCAAGACCATTCAAAAAGTGGCGAGAAATCTCAGATTGTGGATAATTAGCATCATAAGAAGAATCAACAGATCTAAGATCACTCAAAATTTTATTAAGCCGAAAAAGATAGTCATCCAAAGCTTCTACAGGTTTCATCTCAAATTTAATGTACTCCTTTTTGAAAAGATCACGACAAAATTCTTTAATGTTATTTGTTCCCTAATGAAAATTACTCAAAGCAATCCAAATCTCATGGGCAGTTTGAAGATGAGCAACACGATCATAATCCGAACGAGAAATCCCACTCAAAAGAATATTGCGCGCTTTGCAATTTTGTTCAAACTTAGTTTTTGCAGCAGCGGTATTAATTACTTCAGAAATCACACAAGGATGAGAAACTTTTCTCCAAATATCATAATCTTCAGTCATAATGTAAGATTGCATTCTACTACACCAATGAGGAAAATTCGTTCCATCGAAAACATGAGGCTTAGTTGAAAATCTAACAGGAGCAGCCATGGCAAAAACTCTAGATCGATAAAAATCCAAAAAAGAAAACAAGGCTCTGATACCACTTGTAGGATTGAATCACAATAACTACGCCAACCAGAAGGGGGGGGGGGTGAATGGTTAGTATACCCAAAAACCGAAAACTTTTAGCGGAAATAAAAGTTACCCTTGAATTCGACGGAGATCGGTCTGACCAAGATTGATCTGCCGGTTTGACCGCGCTTGTGTCGTCGGTCTGACCGGTGTAGATTAACCAGTCTGACCGCCGAGATCAGCTGCTGCTTGCTGTCGCCGCCGCCGGTCTGACCGCCTGTATGCCGCCGGTCTAACTGCCGCTTGCCGCCGGTCTGACCGCCGAAACCCGGTAAAATACAAATCGAAGAACTCTTAAAGTGGATGACGACTTTATTGTTTCTCTCTGTGTTTACAAAGTGCACCAACAGCACTCCTTACAAAAATCTTGACGAAACTCGAAACCCTAACTAAACTAGCAACTCAATTGCTCTCAAAGCGATGCTGGGAAGCCTCACGCTCCCCCTCTATTTATACCCGAGGTAGGCAGCCTAAAGCCACGAACCAAACTCATAGTAGAAGTCCTAAACACCTTAGGAAACCATCTAGTACAAGAAACAAACTTTACATAACCAATCATGCCAAATTTGGACTCCTTCCAAATTCGACTCGGCATCCCATACGCACACAATACCTCCATCGTATGCCATATGGAATCTTCATTAACCACGTGCATGAACTCTAGCCTCAGTATCCCACATGATATCTGACCATCACGGACATCGCCTTACCACCAAGTCGACTCCCGGTCCATGACCGTAAATACTCCCCCGAGGCATCGAGTCACCTACATATGAAACAAACAAAGAAACCATATTTCGAGACCAAGCTATCTCCAACTTGTCTCTTTAGTAGCAAACAACAGTATTACATACGTATAGTATCCATCTAGAAGCCATAACCCGAAATCGAAACCGACATAAAGTCGGCCGGTTAGACCGTGGGCTAGCCGGTTAGACCGCTCAACACAAGCCGGTCTGACCGGCAACCACCGCCCGGTCTGACCGGTCCCGACAAAACAGCAAACCCTGTTCATCACCTGAAAATCAATTATCTCCAAAACCACTTCGACAATAATCTCCAAATATCAAAACCAATAATCACAGATGCCGATTGTTCATCACAGAATAAGAATCAAAACACACGTTGATCTTACAATGAGATATCTAAAATTATGTCCTATATATTTGTATGGTGTATAAGGTGCAGAATCGAAGACAACATGTGAATATGACACATTATTCACATCATCACTGGTAAAAAACTCTTAAAAAATATTCACTAATTCTGATCAAAATTACTATGAACAACATGTTCGAAAGCATATTCACCCTGGATTAGCTATTGGTTTAGTGAAATTGATCCTCCTGGATTAATTAGCTAGCTATTGCTAGGTATACATACTCGATCGATCGAGAAATCTGCATGATTTTGGCATGCAACTACCCTGAAAGTGACACACCACTGACCTGGCTAAGTTCAAGTGGTACCACGCGAATGGACGAGCAATCAGGACACCAGTTTGCAAATTAAATTGATGTACGTGATTAATTAATTAATGCGATCTTGCCGACCATTTTCATATGGAGGGGCATGGATGGATGGAACACGTCGTACGACCTTAGCTTTGTGAAAACGGGCACGGGAAAAGTGAGACGGACGTACGTGACGACTAACGAGTCAAGTATACTGATGATCAGTCGCAGCATTGCTGCATCCGTGCGTGATCGTGTTCAATGGGCGGCAAATCTTAATATGGTTATTATAGCTGCTGAAATTAATATTGTGCTTCAATTCCCGGCTCTGTATGGAATTTGAGATTTGTCATTAATTGGAAGTTTTCATTCTTTTTCTAGCAATATTCGATCCATGTAAAATATTGGACTATATCTTCTTATATATCTATCAATAATTTTTCTCTCTAAAGATTTGTCAAATATAAATACATTATAATTACATAGTATTTTGTTTGTAACTACGTACAACATAACTTCAACATAATTTGATGTAGATCGAATATCCTCAGCCCGCTAGACTATGATTTTTTTCATTCCATGCTTTTACGAATCTTTCATTCCAAAGTTACGTAAAAGCTGTATAAGTTATATTATAGTTACATAAAATTTCTAATGTAGTTATACTACAATTATACTCTTCTTACATTTGATAGATTTCTTTTTTAGAAAAATTGTCAACAAATGCATAGCAAAATTGTTTGCGTTGATTTCTATAAACTTGTCATAATTAAACTTTTGTGTAATTATATTCAAAAAAATTCTTTTGACATATATATACGAGTATATGATAATCAAACATGTGAGTTGGATATTGTTTTCAAGTTCTAATAAAAAACATGTACAAAAAGAACATATTTTGAGTGCTAAAAATAGAAATATATACTATTTTATTCGAGCCCACGCAATGCAATAACATGTCATACAACATTACAAAACATTTTACTCTATCTAATCTAAAATAAGTATAATTCTATATTCAAATATTTTTTACCAGAATAAATGCTATAGTACTATTGGTCCTATCAATCACATCCCATATTCCCATCAATTTTCTCCCCATCTCTCAATCACCTATCCTCTCACTCACAACTATCCTTCGTTCAATAGAGGGCATATTGGTCATTTAAACTCTCTCGATTGATCCTCTCACTTTGGAAAATGCAGTTGTTTAGAGATATAGGTACGTAGTAGTAGAATTTTAACTAGTTCCTCTAATTTTTACTGACATTCCAATAACTACGTTCCATTGGAAAGAAAACAAAATTCAATGATCACATTTTATCCTTAGCTCTGAATTAGTACATATCCTACAAGCAAGAAACAAACACCTTAATTTCTCTATGTACAATTAATGTTCACTGTGATCTGTGAACCATGAGAACTCATGACACACATCCATATCGACCTAGGCTTTGTTAGTTAGCAGCTCTATCTCCAAAGGATAATTCTAGTGAGATATAGCTGAACGAACGAAACCTCTCCCACAAGATAACACTGATTAGTAGCAAAGCAACTTTGTCGTGCACTCGATCTCGATCACACGAAAATCAAGAGATGAATGTCAACGCCCTCCTCTACCGGGACAGTAATCAAGTTGATAATGAGATGTCCATACTCGATCTAGCTAATCCCAACAGCCAACCGGCCGTATCACTGCACTTGATAATGAAGGTTGAAATTAACTTTGGCTCCCATCCACTAACCCAACGGTTGGCACACGTACGAGCGAGCCTGCATGGATGCGATGCCCCTCTTCATCTATAAATAGAGATCGGCTGCAGTTCTAACTCCTCAAGCTAAGCAAGCTAGCTCGATCAAATTACAAATAAACTCATCAACAAAAACTAAGCAATGGCTGCTAAGTCTCTAATTCTGTTTGGTGTCCTCCTTGCCTCCCTCCTCCTCGTCTCCCAGGATGTAGTTGCTGCTAGGGAGCTCACTGAAGCCCATGGTAATAATCCAACCCGATCTGTTTTTCCCTTTGATCACATATTCACGAATGGTTTAGTTTTGCTACCTCACTGAATAGCAAATTAAATACTTCACTAGGCACACCAGTTATCTTATTTTGTCGTTGACTATGGTGTTTATATGCAGAATCCGAGAGAAAGAATGTGAAACCTGAGGTTGAACAAAACAATTGGGGAGGTGGATACATGCATGGTGGAGGATACGAACACGGTGGAGGGTATAGTCAACCCAGGTATGGTGGCGGTTACGGACAGCCTGGATATGGTGGCGGTTATGGCCAGCCTGGGTATGGTAGCGGTTATGGCCCTGGCTATGGTGGTGGGGGCTCTGGACCCGGATATGGTGGTGGATATGGTAGCCCAGGATATGGCGGCGGATATGGTAGCCCTGGCTATGGTGGTGGTAGCGGTTACGGCGGTGGATACGGCGGTGGCTACGGTGGTGGATATGGCGGTGGCAGTGGCTATGGTGGTGGAGGTGGTTATGGAGGAGGTTCTGGTGGAGGAGGTCAACATGGTGGATGGCACTAAAATACATACATAGCTACCTCTACATGTTCTGCAAATAAAGGCTCATCCGCACGCCATCCATATCCTGGATAATATAAAGTATTTTCTGCGCTTGTGTTCAAATTGCACAAATATGTCCATGATTAAGAAAAACAGTTGAGCTACACATATGGTGTTTTGTGCCCGTATGAGATGTATGATTGATTAATTTAGATGTTTTAAGGATGGATCATGTTGTAAGTATCTTTGTCCAAATATATAAATAAATAAATGAATGAATGAATGATAGGTTTGATTTGCCAAAAAAACTGATGCATTTATTTTGTCTCTCCAGGCTTCGGCATTTGTGGTTACTCAAACAATAGAACACACTATTAAACATGTACAAAATTTTTGGTAAATTGGATGTCGAAAATAAATTATTCTTATGATGGAAGAACACTCCAACAGTAAAAAAACAATATCCCAACAGAATCAGCTCATCACCCCCGGTTTTTCTGTTGGCAAATTTTTACTACAGGATATTCTGACTGTGATTTTTACTATAGGATACCATATGAAGCAACTTTTAGGGGAATACACTCTTATAGTGTGGAAATTTGTTTCTAGACACCACACCCATTAGAATATCATTTCTGATCAATACAAGAGAAAAACTCCATGAAAGTTCTGAAATACCCCTTAGCACAACTACTATCAATTCCTTAGCGATCCTGGCAAGAGGAGATGCCGCTGTCGGGGTGCTACTAGATGGCTCCTCCCACTGTATGTTCAGCCAACAACAGTCGTCGTAGATGGCACAACCATTGAGGTTCCAAGCATGCTCAGCGGCCGCTCGAGTTTGAAATGGACCGGAAGCCTCCACATATGTTCCTATTTAGCACACTTCAATCTTTCTTTCTACTCCATATCCATTAAACAACTGGTGGAGTAGATACTCATCCACTAGGTGTACTAGATGGCTCACCATGACATAGAGAATTCGATTAGCATTGGAAGCCATGGTGAGTGGCTCTGATACCAAGTTATCATGACCCGAGATCATAATGGGATAACCACCTCCGGGAAGATAGCCGGACGATGTCGGCTTGTGGAGAAGAAATTTAGATTTAGGCTAGGGAAGAGAAGAACATTACTAGGAGGGATAGATTAGACTCGATAATAGACACAATCACATTCTTATATAGATGGAATAAGTTTAATCTTATCTCTGTGTAACTAATAATATTATGTCTAACTTAAATGATATGGGCTGCCTATGGGCCTTGGCCTTAAGCATGGCCCAATGCGTATGACATTACTATTGCTAGTATATGCAAGCAAGTCAGGCTGGACAACCAGTTGACCATACTAATTCTTTTTTTTTGAGAATTATACTAATTCTATTGTTTGACAAATAATTAAAGGAAAAACTACATCGAAGGTCCAATATCTTGTCATCGGATTACAAAATCGTCCCCAACCGCAAAACCAGATATATGACACCCCTCATCTCACAAACCGGATCACTTTGGGTCCTTAGGCGGTTTTGATCCTAGTTTTATCCGATGTGGCAGCTGAGTTATCGTGGGACCCACGTGGGCCCCATATGTCAGTCTGTCCACAACATCTCTCTCTTTCCCCCTTTTCTCCCTTCCTCCTCTCACTCTTCTCTAGGCAAGCAGGGTGGCAGGGCAAGGTGGGAGAGGAGGAGGGTGGCGGCGGCTAGCGACAGGCGATGCAGCGGCGACGGCAACGTGGGAAAGGGGAGGCATCACATGCGCGGAGGAGGGCATCGGCCACCGGCAACGGGCAACACGCCGACGACGGCAGCGCAGGAGTAGAGGAGGAGGCGGCAACGCAGGAGAAGGGTCATCGATGATGTGGTCCAAGATGGCCGCAGCGTGCGCGATGGCGTCCCTGCGACCGAGACGACAAGTCCTCTCTACTCCGGTTGCTGGAAGTCTCGCCGGTTCAGTGGCAATGGGTGCTGACTCCGGCGCACCTCGCCAGCACCATCGGCTGGCATAAGAACCCCCTCGAAGCCGTCCATCTCTACGCCGATGCACCACACCACTTCCTTCCTTCGGCCACCTCCATGACATCGCGCCCGCCGTCGATGACCCCCCGTGAGCGTGCACTCGTCCTTGTCTTCGACGGCCCGGGACTCGATGCTCCTTGCACTTGGCAGGGTCGCCGTCCACGCTGTCCCCAACCCCTAGCCTCCACGAGCTTGATGTGGGCCTAGGCCTGGTCGATGTAGAGCTCGGCTGTGGCGGGGTTTGAGCTCGGCGGCGAGTTCAAAGTCATCATCGAAGAAGGCCGCCATGGCCTTGCTCTCCAGATCCAACGCTCCGGTGGTTGCCATGGCGGCTTGACTTTTGTGGCTACGGTGAGCCGCCCGCCGCGCCCCCAGCTTTGGCATATTCTTCCCACCATTGAAGGGGGAGGTCGGCAGTGAGCGCTCACGGAGAGGTGGGGGGTGAGCTAGTGAGGGGGGTGGGGAGGCCGGCGGTGAGATACGGAGAGGGAGGAGGCGTGGCTGTTGAGGATCGACCGGGGAGGCCAGCAGTGAGCGCGCATGGAGATGGAGTAGGTGGGGCCAGGGAAGGAGGCGGGGAGGCCGGCGGTGAGTGATGGAGAGGTAGGAGGCGAGGCTGGTTAGGGGGGCCGCTGGCGAGCTCGCCCGCTCTGACTAGTGCTGTGTGGCGAGGAGAAAGGAGAGGAAGGAGAGAGGAGGAAGTAGAGGAGGATGACATGTGGGCCCACATTGGGGCCATCAATCTTTTCTTATTATTTTCTAATATACTATCATGTGGGCCCCATATAGACTTAGTTAAAACAGCCACGCAGGCGTCACGTCAGCCAAAACCGAGGATAATACCGCCGAGGGACGTTTTATGGTTCAATGACAATTTTGTAATTTGGTGACAAGATGAGAAGTGTACTTTTCCATAATTAGAAGGCATGTATACAACAAAAATTGGCGAGTGAACGATCAACAAGTTGGACCTATTAGTAAGCAATCAAATATAAAAGGTACTCCATGTGACCCGTGCTAGCAACAGGCCAACAGTCACTGGTGGAGAAACCCTTTGTAGTCCCGGTTCGTAACCCCCCTTTAGTCCCGGTTTCCAAACCGGGAGTACCAATCCGGGACTAAAGATCGCTATCTTTAGTCCCGGGTGAAATAACCGGGAGTAAAGATATATCTATAGTCCCGGTTGGTGTTACCAACCGGGACTAAAGATAGATCTGACCTTTTTTTTTGCATGGCCCTGTTGCTGCATGGTTTATATATATATATATATATATATATATATATATATATATATATATATATATATATATATATATATAAACCATGCATATATATGTTTCAATACATATATATGCATACATATATATATGTATATATATATATATATATATATATATTATATTATATTATATGTATATACATGCATAATATATATGTATTTATACATATATATGTTATGCAAATGCATATGTATATAGATATATATATGACCAAAATATATTTACATTATAGAAAATGTGTACACATGCATATAGAAACATATGTAGTCATGTATTAATTACAATCCATTATATGTCCTAGCTAGCTACGATTTCGACGTAGTAGTACTCGCTGCTAGCTCAGAAGCTAAGGACCGGTGAATTGTGTTTCCGTCGTAGTAGAATTCACCCTTGGGATCAATGATTTCTTCGTTGATGAATCCCATGAGTTGTTCTTGAACCGCCGTGATAAATTCCTTGTGTGTGGTCAGGTTATCCCTCATGCGAATAAACTATATGAATGTATGAAATTGATTAGTAATTAAACAAGAAATCGCTACGTAATGAAATTTTGAATTTATTTGTACGTACATCGAGCTCTCTTGTGGTGATGATTTGGTCTGCAAGGCAGTGGCAATACTCGCACACGTAATAGCCGCACAAGTTAGTTCCCTGCTTTTGCTTTGCGCACTACAAATAAATGACAAACAACGAGAGATCTAATTAATATACACTTGTATGTATTTGAATCGGAGAAATATAAATGTAGAGCATGTGTACTCACAGGAAATTTGAACTTCCGCCTAAGTCTTTCTCTCCATTTGCCGCGGACCAAATGACGGAACCGATACCAAGCCCTACATGGAGTTTAAAGCTATGATTCGTAGTAGCAATTAACATAACAAGATTTTCTTAATTAACAAAGGAACTTATGACGGTACCTGTCTATAAGTTCGAAAACCTTGTCAAACGTAGACTCTTTTTTATCCATTGAGTCATATACGTTGACGGTGCAGGCCTCCAGGTCGAAGAGTAAAAGCACCCAGTGGAATCTGCAATGTGCGTGGGATGCATTACATATGAAACACTTAGCATGTTCGTACGGGAATGAAATTTGGTATGTAGGAAGACAGTAAAATTAAACTAACTCTGTGTTGTATGGCAACAGTATGAACGTCTTGTAATGTTGCGCCTTCAGGAGATGGACGAGATTGTCCTCTGTTTCTTGTGGATATTGGTCGAGCATTGCGACGTTTACTTTCCGAGGGTCGATGAATCCAGTATCGAAAACCCTCCGCCGTCGGGCCCTTTGAATCTCCATTCTACAACGATAAAAGGGAGTATATTATTTTCTATAGTCTACTTATATACAAGGACCTAATTAATTAAAGGAGACGTATAGTAAGAAATCTAACTGAACGATATACTTACAAAATCCAGCAACTCATAATAGAGACGTCGAGGGCGTCCAGCTGGTATAGTTGGTAGATTCCCCTGAAATTGATCCAGAGAATGTCATCTCCTTGCAAGAAGTCCATGTCCCTGATCCTCGCTCCGATCATCTCTCTACCGGTGGCGCTCATCTCCATGTACAGCTGATGGAACTTGTACATTTGTGTGGGTAGGGACTGCAGCAGCTCAGGCTTGACAAGCGGTTTACCGAGTTCGTACATGTATTTCACTTCCGCCTTTTCAATTGGTGCGACTCCTAGCAATTGATCCGTAGTTAGACCGGTGTCAATAATAAATTGTTCTATCATCATTTCTTTACCGGTCACCAACGGCTCGATCTCCTGGTTTGGTTGCTCTCCAAGCTGAGGGACTGGTTTGGACTTTCCAGAAGATGCTTTCTTCAGCGTTCGCTCATAGTCCGATAGCTTGATGGCCTCCTTGACAGATGCAGACATACCCCTGAAGAAGTTCCTGACACTGGGGTCTATAGGAATCTTCTTTTTTGGACTTCGAGGCTTGAATTGTCTCTTGACTTCTGATGCAACGTAAGCGTCAAG